GCTTTGGATAAAAGCGTCTGCTAAATGACTAAATGTAAAATGTATTGAAGTAATGTGCTATTACTGTAACTATTTTAATTGAATTAATTCCCTAACTAAAATAATTTTATACATGTTAATAATAATTTGTTGAACATTTTAACTTTTTGTAGGTGGTAAAATGATTTAAATGATTTAGCAATGGCAGCACAAGCTAATTAATATGAATGGATCAGATTTCTTCTGACTGATACATGCAAAAAGATTCAAAAGTGTTTTCTCACTAGTTTATCATGTACCTTCAGTCTGTCTCGGAGTAAAGTGAGACAATAACCTTTTACTCCAAGTAAGATTGCTAAACTGTGTAAGCCGCAAAAATCTTTCTTTCTTGCTCTCTCTAGACTGGTGCTTGAGTTTGATCTGTTGGTGTATGCGTTTGGCCAGTTCCCCCTAGTGGTTGTTACGTGGATGTGTATGTTCCTGTCCACCCTTGTGGTTCCATATATACTGCTCAGTGTCTGGGCCAGTGTTTACCCCACGTCAAGCCATCGGGCCTTATGGACAGTGCTGGCTGGTTCTCTCTTGCTTCTGTACCAGGGGCTGTGTTTGGGTTTCCTACCCACATATGTGGTGCTGAAAAACGGCCTTCCCCCTGCTTCATGCTTCATACTTATTCTGGAACAGGTACTCAGTAACCATAGCAATAGGATTTTTTTATATCACTCTGTTGATTATTGCTTGCTCTATTTTCTGCTTTCATGTGTTTATTTGAATTTGTTACTTGTTAAAAATCTAATAATATTTGAAGATGTTTATTTTAGTTTCACTGCTGAATCTAGTTGTTGCTATTGGTTCTGTTTTAAACAGGTGCGACTGATAATGAAGGCTCACTCTTTCATCAGGGAAAATGTGCCAAGAGTGCAATCCTTAGAACGAACCAAAACAAGTAAGATCTTTACTTAGATGTTAGTAAATTCACAAAAATAAACTGATAAAAACTTCATTTTTTTTTTTCAGATTCATTAGCTGTACCTCAGTTCACCCAGTACATTTACTTTCTCTTTGCACCTACCCTAATATACAGAGACAATTATCCACGGTAAGACTCACTAATATTGGTTTTACATTTTATTTATATTTATATATATGTGTGTGTGTGTGTGT